CAGAGTGCCGACAGGTGGCGGTAGTGTCTCGTCGGTGAAAGACTGAAAGACTCAAGGACGAAGTTGAACCGTTGAGTGAACACCAAACAACTTCTAATTTCTATGTTAGTGCTTTGTATCGTTCATCAATTCAGAAATTAAGTTTATTGGGCTATGAAATCATTTTCACCGTACGCGTTACCAACCCGATGGCACACGAAGTCTGCACTGTATCCGTTGCTGTGCCTCTGTGTGCTCCACGCTCCACCCACAATGAAGAGGACGACCTTATGGGTGATATGGTGACGAGTGATAACAGCAAATCATATGTAATATGTCCGCTAATGCCTGATACAAAATACGAAAGTCGGACATAAGAGAAAAATGCAATAATTTTCGTTTATTATTAATTCGATATCCGTTGCCGTTTTTTTTTCTGCAAAAACCGACGTATTGGGTTAATATCAGTTTAGCCCACCGGGCAATCGAGGAAAATGGCTTTGACCAACGTCCAGAAGATTCTGTTCCGCGCGCCGCAGTCCGCTCGACACATTACGGGCAAGGCTCTACAAGCGTCCCTGGGACCGAGACCTCAGAAACCCGCACCGTTCCCGTACAAAGAGAAGGATTACACCATGTTCAAGAGTTTGTTTGATAAGACGACATCGCGTTTCGACGAGAATAGCAAGCTGATTGTTCTTGAGGGACCTGTGGGAATTGGTGAGTTAGTTTGTTCTCKCTTTATTTGGTTTACTTATGTATCACCATTCACCACAACACTAGACCGTTGTGCTGATATTTATTATGTCGGGTTGATTAGCATTTATATGTTTATTATATACGACATGTCATCACTWATAACTTTTCTACATTTGTGTACTATTTAGGTAAGACGGCTGTTGGAAMTCAGCTTGCTGATTTATTGGATATGCATTTTATGCCAGACATTACAATGGACGCGTATTACATAAATGACTATGGTTACGATATGAGAAAACTGGACCCTCAACTGCCAGTCAATTGTCGTAGTTTTGACGAACGTAATTTTCTCGAAAACCCAGAACACTTTAATGCTGCTTCGTTTCAAATAATCAAGTACAAGTTGCGCTATGCTCATTATATTGATGCCATTGCTCACTTGTTAAATACTGGAGAAGGTGTAATTATTGAACGCAGTCCTTACAGTGACTTTGTGTTTGTAGAAGCTATGTATAAATGCAAGTATATGAGTAAAGCAGCGCGTGAATTGTACTATACACTGTACAAGCACGCTATGCCTGATTTGCTGCATCCTCATTTAGTTATCTACTTGGATGCACCAGTACCAAGATTGTTAGAYCTTGTAAAAGAAAGAAAACTACCTCATGAAGTCAATTCTAAGGCAATGAATACTAAGTACCTAGAAACTATGGATAGCGAATTTAAATATAAATTTTTAAGGGACATCAGGTATATTACTATTCCCAGATAATAATAATAATAACAAAAATATGTATTGATTCAAATAACTGTTTGACTTTATCAATAAATATAATTTTTGATTTTAGCAACCGATCTGATGTATTAGTTTATGATTGGTCAGAAGGTGGAGATCCTGAAATAATCGTGGAAGATTTAGAACGTTTAGATTTGGACAACTATGATGAGAATGATCCTAAGATACAGGATTGGAGTTATTCAAGAGAACAATACTGGGCTGATGTACGAATGAAGTATGTTTTTGTATTTATCYAATAGTATTAATTTAAATATTATTTAAGTTTCCCATAAAACAATGAATCTTTAATTGTAAGCAATATAATAAAAAAATAGAGAAAAATTAAATTATTTTCAGAGGTCATTGAAATTAATTGGTTTATAAAGAAAATCCAGTAGGTACATTTAAAAATTATTTATGGTATACACTGAAAATTGATTATAATTAGATGGAAAAAAATTGGTTGTAATAGATTATTTGTTATAAACAATTTTCCTATATCTTATTTCATTACTTAAATAAAGGGTATTTCTGACTCAATACTTCAATTAACGAAGGATTATTGTATATGAAATTAGTTGATTAGGTAGATATAAATACTTAATTTATTTCTCTCCTGCTTTATGTTTTATGATTGTACGACAATTAATGATTGATTTATGTTAATAGATATACCAATGAAAAAGAAGCATTAATTTCTAATTTTAACGTCCCTCTTGTTGATGCTCCAGAACTTCTTATACCCGGTGAAGAAGCTGAAATTCTTACCCGTGCTTGGTTCCAAGTAAGAATTATATTTTTATTATTATTTAATATTATTTGAAACTAATGTTGTATTATGTGCTATAGAAATATTTTGTATGTTATTTACAAGTTATACTGATTAATATATACAATTCTTAAGTCTCAACTGAATTCTCTATACATATTTATATTGTTTTGTACAACCTGTTGGTTAATGCGAGAAATTAAGTTATACCTTTAATGTCTCATTAAGACATTTGTGCAGAGGGATGGATTGAGAGAATTTTTTGCCTGGGAGAATCGATTAGAACTACAGCTCTCTAGTCTAGAAGTATTCAAAGTGTGTGTCGTAATTCCCAGAGTCATRTCGACAAAGAGAGGTGCTTCAAAGCATCAGAAACCGACATTAATTTAGGTCTTGTATAACTAATAAAAATATAATTTATAAAATTACAATCCCATTATGGAAACATTGCGTGACCATTTAAAGTTTTATTTCTATTAATATAGTCACTGTTATTAACACCCATATTGTATATGTATTGATTCATTTTTTTCATTA